AATGGAAATGAACCGTACTCGAACTAGTTTGGGATGGAGGCATCGTCGTTGTTATTCCAATGCCCTCCAAAAACAATGGAAATCGACATAAACTCTCCACCTTAGAGCTATGATTCATCAGGAGAAACAGTCTTCACATTCTTGTTCTTATTGTTTACCTCATTCAAGACCTTCACAAATGCATCCACAATCTGCTTCTGCGATTGGAGTATCATCTCGTTTCGCTTCATCTCCATCTCCATTCTCATTTGCTCGACTTCCTTTGCCATCTCCATCTTCATCTTCTCCACTTTCATGAACCCTTCACCCAATAACCTAATCGATAAAACCATCTCTTCCATTGGATCTCTCCCCCTCTTCACCCCTCCACCCCCACCTCCACCACCAACTCCTTTTTTCCCTAATTTTGGAGTACCAAACCTAGAATCAACATTGGGTTCAACATTCCCACCATAGTTTCTTCTCGAACTCGAAATACCAAAATTTTCACCAAAATTTCTTACATGAAATCCATCACTAGCATTACTCCCATTATATTCACTTCCTTCATCACAATCAAAACTAGTACTATTCATTACTGATCGCTTCGATTTAATTGAAATTCCATTTTTTACGCGAAACCCACTACCAAACTCAACCTCATTAGGCATTTCCTCTTTGTTAAAACAATACCCATTTGGAATTTTGGAAGAAAAATTATTTCTTTCGGGTGTTTTCGCAACGCCATGATTTAACATGATAGTTGGAGTCCAATCTTCAATAAAATTCACACCATTCTTTTGATTTATCTTTAATTTCAATAAATTTGGGTCAATTGATGGGACTTGTTTTTCGGCCATTTGTTGATTTAATTTGATTGATGCAACAGTAGTACCATTTTCCATAGCATCCATGTTATCAAAAAAGAACCAAGACGAAAAAAACCTACCGGTTGGAGAGGCAAGGGAACGTTGCTTTTCAGCACGGTAACGTTGCCGGAGTTTTTCCATTTTATGGCGGCACTGGGCGGAGGTTTTCGCCGGAGATGCATCTGGACAGCGGCTGGTCACGGCAGCTGCCACCGCGTCCCAATCTGCCGTACGGAGGTAGCCCCGGCGGAGGGCGTACCACCGCTCGCGGTAGGCGTCGATTAAGGCTAGAGTTTCGTCTTGCGTCCAACACGGCGGTGGAAATCTCCTCGCCGGAGGTGGAGGCTTCTCCTCCACCGCCGGCGGGGATGTTTCTGCGACGGTTACATCAAGTTTAGACGACATCGTATTATGGTGTTGTTTTTTTTAAGAAAATTGAGTGGTGTTTTTAAGTGATTGAATTTAGATGGAAAGTTGAGATATAAATGGGGTGGTGATGGTGGGTGGGGAATGGGTAGTGTTGGAAAGAGGCGCAAGATAGCAAAGATGATGAGGTGGCGGGGTGGGTGGTGGTGGAGGTTGTTGTATGATTGATGTTGAGGGGGTAGGGGTGTAGGGGGTGGGGAATGGGTAGTGTTAGAGAGGCGCATGATAGCATAGGTGATGGGTAAGGTGAGGGGGTGGGGATGGTGGTGGAGGTTGAGGTTGTTGAATGATGATGTTGAGAGGTGTGGGTATTATTGGGGGTTGGGTTTGGTGGGTGGTGGGGTGGTGATGGGGCATTGAATTTTGGCCAGTTGTTTGCTAGAGTGGGTGAGGATAATGATATGAATGATGACACACAAATGCTAACTTACACAAAGGGATGTACACAGCTAATCCTACACCTACTCCACCAGTCCCCCACCCCACCCTCCACCCATAGGTAGTGAATCCCCACCCCACCCCCACCACCCCACTTACCATCATCACTTTCTAGATATTTCTTGTGACTTGGAAGGTGGTAAGTAGGGGTGATTGGATAGGAGATAGCTAGGTGTAAACACAGTTTAGCACATTAACAGGGCGGATGTAGCTTTATATCATCTGAATCTATACTTTTAAAATAAAATATAAAATTTATACATAAAAATTCATTAAAATTATAACAAATAATATATGAACACATAACTTAAAATATAATAAATTTAATACTGAAAATCTTAAAAATTAAATTTATTAAACTTAAAATTTTGAGTCAACCCATAAACCACAAGGGTCAAACGTTAAAGACTATGGTATTATTACTTTTAACCCGCGCCAGAAATTATTTATATTTGATAGTCGAAAAAGTATATAAAATTTATATAGTTTTTGTATATGACATACGTAATGTATATATATATATATATATATTTTATATATTATTTCGGTTATTATTTTTACAACGGCTATACAATGTCATAAAACATCATTTTTTTTTTTTTTGTAGTTTTTTTTATCCTATGAGTGGCTTGTGCAGGAGTAGCCAGTAAGATGAGTGGCTTAATTGACTAAAATTGGCCTATATTTATTTGCAGTGCAGAGGTAACCCCACACCTACTTCACCAGTTTACCACCACAACACTTCATCAAAGCACATCACATCACACCACCCACTCTAAAGTGGCGAATTGCAAAATTTTCTACAAATCTCTAACCATATTGTCACAAGAAATATTACTCCAAATACACCATATTGCCACAAAATATAATATTCTCTCCTTTGCACTTTATGTGGTAAGATTTAGAGTACGACTGTCAATATATTTAATTTTTGAATATTTAAAAACTACTTAAAAGAGTGTAATAGTTAATTAAATAATATTTAAAACATCTAAAAAGTATTTAATAAAAACTTGATTAAAGAAAATGTTCTTTAACTTTCTACTCAATCCGATAGCATTAGTGTTAGTATGGTTTCGCTTTATTCGTAAATTGATAATACCACATATTGTTTGATTGCTATCTTTGTTTCAGGTTTTCTTAGTGGGCGTTTGGACATAAGAATTATAAATTTAAAAAAAAAATCAAGTGAAAATGGTATTTGAAAATTAAAGTTGTGTTTGGACATGATATAATTTTGAGTTGTTTTTGAAGTTTTGTGAGTGATCTGAGTGAAAATTTTAGAACAGCTTTTTGGAGTTTTTAAAATTTTCGAAAAATCAAAATTTAACTTCAACTGAAAAATGAAAATTTTATGGCTAAACACTGATTTCAAAAAAAAAATAAAAACATTTCAAAAAAAAGTGGAAAAATTCACGGACTCTGTTGTTACTACTTGTTGCCACAGCTTCTTCTCTTTTGCCTTTCAAGATATTGCTTACAAAAAGAAGGATAGCCAAGTGTTATGTAAAAATGACCAAGGAGGATCCTATCTTTAAGGAGGAGGAGCTAGCTTTAGAAGTGGAATCGAATCTTTTCTTCGGCCCAGACCCCGCTTATGGAAATACACTCTCCCCAGGTCCCATGGTTAAAATATACTGAGTTTGTCGTTGTTGTTGTGGTTGATGTTGCTACGTAAATTATAACATTGAGTACTTAATTCCGTGTACTTTATACAACACTTTTTTTTTTAGTTAATCTAAAAAATTTGACATCCTTTTTGTATTGAGAAATTCTTTAATTTGAACACTTTTACCTTTACAATTATTGGCGGCAAACAAGCCCATGCCTATCTACATGGTAGCCCAGCGGCAGCAAGGTGTGTGGCTTGATTGACCAAAAATACTATCTTTTATGTGCATATCTAATCCCACACCTACTCCACTAATCTTGATAGTATTATTCACTATTTTCTACTCTAACTATATAATGAGTTATTTTCCCATGTAGTTATTGCAATTTTGCGCTATAATAATAAATTTCATAAATTAATTTTTATCACGTTAAAGTAATTGAACTACGTGATTTAAAAAATACGAATTACGGAGAAGTTAAATTAATACTTTACATCAATTTATAACATGCCACTCGCCACATAAGCGTTTTATAGAAGTATATTATAACTTTAGCCCACGTCAGAAACTATTTATATTCGTCGAAAAAAGTGTATAAAATTTACTTTGTACATAACATACAAAATGTATATATATACAAAAAAAAAAAAATTAGATTATTATTTTGAAAGCAGCTATGCAGTGTCATTTTCCACTTCTTTAACTGATTTTCTCACATTTTATTGCGTAAGGGAGTGGCTTGATTGACAAACACTGTCGATCTTTACGTGCAGGTCAGTGAGAAGTGCTGAAGTGGTAAATGATATTTATTGATTATATTAGTAGCATTATATCCTTATTATTATGGACCAACCTATCCTTTTCTGTCTACATGTTCAAGAATGGACAATATTTCATGGATGATGCACCGCACCTAATCTCTAGACTTTCTATTTTTTTTTTTTTTCGTTTTTATTTTATCTAGTATATAATATTTGCTTTGGGATCGACTAATCCGAATTCATACTCCGTAAACAAATTAAAAGGAAAATGTTTCATACCAGGATTTTTTTATTCCTGAAATCGTTTGTTATCCATTGTCTCCTACAAACATGTAATGTTATTGTAGGAATCTGTATCTTTGTTTCGTGAAAAGCCTCAAAATCGCCTAACTTCACAAAAATGCTTTTAAATGTATTTTGTTTAAAGTTTTTGTTTACAACTTTTTATAAAATTAGATGTAGCTGATAAGATATCCGGATCCGTGGCGCAATGGTAGCGCGTCTGACTCCAGATCAGAAGGTTGCGTGTTCGATTCACGTCGGGTTCAATCCCCCGATCCAAACCGGATTCCCCCCATTTTTTTTGTTTTGTTTTTTTTTTTTTTTTTTTAACTATTCCTTCACATTTTATTATTATAGTATTATTAATTTTTAGCTATTGCTTTCACTGGTTCGGACGTGAATAATGCAAGGAAAAACTTAAAATTTTTGGATTTTTCTTCTTCTTCTTTCGGAAATTCACTATCCTACTAGCTTATATCTTAAGACTTATAACATCTTTTATTTAGAGAGATTCAACCAAACCTCTCATGTGGAAGAATTTACAGAATCTTGTCCGTTACACAGAATAGATTAACTTTATTTTCTTTGAGTATAAATTCTATGCACTGACAGTTTAAAAAAGATAGGCACTATTAGATCACTTAAAATATATTATAATAGATGAAAATACGTTGATAGCGTAAAACATATTCTATTCTCCTCCTTGATTTAATTCTAACTAAAGAACCACTTCAGACATATGGGCTTAGGTAACTTGCTTAAGTAACCATCTATTAATACATTAGTATTATTAATCATAAACAGCTTGGAGGGATTAAAATTGATTAAGTAAAGTAGGAAAAGAAACACCAAGCAGCAAGCCAATTAAGCTGACTATATTCCTTAGGGTGGTGTGGTAATACCTGCAAATTCATAGTAACTAGTTAACAATAAAAGAAAATATAAACAAATTTCAGCTACAACAATTATAGTCAACCAAATTATACAGAACATTTTAAGAAACATGTAAAATTTTGGCGTAACTGGTAAAATTGCTGCCATGTGATTCGGAGGCCACGGGTTCGAGCCGTGAAAACAGCCTCTTGCAGAAATGCAGGATAAGGCTGCGTACAATTAACTTTTATGATCTAGCCCTTCCTCGGACCACGCGCATAGCTGAATCTTAGTGCAATAGGCTGCCTTTTTTTAATGCAAAATCTTCAAGAAAATGAAAAAAAAAATAATATAAAAGAAGTAGAAACAAGAAGTAGTAACAACAACAAGATAAAAAATAACAAGACTAATACGGAGATATACGAGGCTAAAAAACAACAAGATAAGAAACAACTGCAAAATAAGATGATAGAATAGCCGAAGAGAAAGAAACAACATACTATAGTAAAAGAAACCTGCAGATAAGAAGATACTAAATCTAACCCATCCACTTGAGATTAACTTTATACATACAGAATATTAATGATTAAGTCGAACATATATTTAAATCCTGAATTCATCTCTAACAGAAGCGAGACGAAATGAAAAAAAGATTAACTTACTTCCGCACTTGAATTTTCGAGGGACTCTTCGACCACAACCTTCAACAAGACGAATGAAACGATTGATATCAATAAGAGCAGCCAATTTGGGAGTAATAACACAACAAACACATTCAATATGAGTAACCCTAACACGTTCACAACACATAGGAGAAGGAAGTTTTCCATACAAAACAGGTTTACAAGCATTTATACCAATTCTTCTCTCTTCTTTACATGCTGTTTCACTCAATTTTGCACTTGCCATAATTTTCAATTCAAAGCTATTCAACAAAAATAGGACCAATAGTATGGCCATTAACATAACCCTTGATTTTCCCATTTCACTTTCCACACTCTATTCCCTATAACCATAAAGTTCTAACTCTCTTATCCCTTTTATAGTAGTTGGCTTGAATTTACGATTAGGTCATCTAAAAGATAACTATATATAATTGTTCATAATAAGTGAAAATGGTTACCTGAAAAATAAAGTAGACAACCTGCAAAAAACGGTTAAATTATATTAATAATTAATTTTTGTAAGTTATATAGGCTGACAATATAAAAAAGTGAAAATAGCTCGGACTAGTCAGTTTTCGGACTGAAATTTAAAAAATAGCCAGCGTTTGCAAAGTCATTGAAAAATAGCCACTATTTTCCTGAAACACGAAAAGTTCCAGTATAATATGCTGGATTATGGAGCCCCTGCATATAAACTTCTAACATATTATGTTGGAACTCCAACACACGTTGATACTCTAGTTTGATAGAAAGACCATGAGCTCACGTACCCCATATTTTAGGCAATAAATCCGCCCCGGTAGATACTAACAATATAAAGAATTTTTATACTACGACGTAGTTTTATATGTTGTAACGAGTACCTAGTTAGATTTTCAAGATTATAAATTCTACTTATTACGGACCAGTTATCTTTTAAATGGCCTGACAATTTGAGGGTATGATTTAGGAAGTTTCCCTCTTGTTAGAGGTGGATGCAATAAATATCTTTCCCCTTTTGTTATTTATTTGACTTTAAGAAAGCATGACATGTTCTTTCATATATACAGGGGCAGATGTAACGTGCTAGTTATGTGTTCAATTTAACCCATAATTTTTTTGCGGAGTAAAAATCTATATACAAAAATTTATTAAAATTACAAAAATAATAGATTTGAACTCATAATTTAAAAAGTATAATGGGTTCAATTTTAAAAGCCTTAAAACTAGAACTCATAGAGTTTAAATCTCGGATCCGCGTAGGCGTATAGATAATCATTTTAGAGATAGGTATAACAAATTCAAAGCATTAACGTAAAAAACAGAATAGCTCTAGTGTAGTCGGTGAATACGGATTCCGCGTGCCAAACACTTTGTGGGACATTACTTGTTTTATTCTTTCTTTTTCTGAAAAAATATCTTTTTCGTCTGCTTGAGTCGAGGGTCTATCGAAAACAGTCTCTCTATCCCTTGGGGTAGGGATAAGATTTGCGTACACTTTACCCTCCCCAAACTCCACTTATAGGATTTTACTGGGTTGTTGTTGTTGTTTCTGGAAAAAAAAATGATATTTTGAAAAACTTAAGAGTTTATTAGTCTGATCAAGAGTGGACTTTTAAAGCACTCTGATTGGCATTCCGAGTCTTTGAATATGTTCATATACAATAGTTAAATTATACTTGCGTGCAAAATTTGATTTCAATCCGAGGTATTTAAGTATAATTCGAACGCTTGATTGGAAGTATAAAAATTTATGAGCTTAAGAGAGTTTCTAAGCCACACCTAAAAAGAGCCATACTTGTTCCGTTTCAAAAAGAATGAAGGAGTTTGGAGTATGAAGGTCAGATTTTTTCTTTTTTTGGTCGCTTGTAAAATTTTATTGACCGACCGAAATCGGTCAGAAATTGCGACCGACTTCGGTCGCTATTTATTACCGACCAGCCTAATTTCGACGAATTAAAGTCGGTCAGAAATCAATCGGTTTTTTCAGTTTTTTGTCCTATTTCGATCGATATTTCTAGACGGTTTTAGGCATTTCTCTAGCAGTGATATACTTTGTCATTGACTAGGGAAGTTTCGTTGTTTTTTATTTTCTATGTAAAAAATGTAGATGTCAAGCAAGTGATGAAGACAAATACTGCTAATTGCTTCTTGTTGACTATTATTTATAGCCTATAACCTTTGATTTCAAGAAGACTTTGGAGTCGTTTGGTAGGGTGTATAGGAATAATACTGAATATGGTATATTAGTAATATTGGTACTAGTAATGCTGAGATTAGTTATGCTAGGATTATTTTTTATCGATTGTTTGGTTTGACGTATTAAAGGTTTTGAAAGGGTAATTCTATCTTTATTCATGTTTATCCATATATTAAAAATTATGATATTACTAATTTCATGGTTTGCTATGTATAAGAATAGTACTGAAAACACTACCAAACAAGGTATTAGTAATATTACTAAAGCTAATAGTAATATATCGTTTTCCCTAATAAAATCCTACCAAACGAACACATGATTAATGACTTAAGTGAAGTGTGGATTTCAATCTTTGACAATTGACATTATTGAATAATTAAGCCATTATATTTGAAAAGTTTTATCAAGTAGTAATAAAGATCATTAAATCAACAATAGTAAATCCCATATTTAGTAGTCATACTCAATTTATTAATCAATGTGACCTTCAGACACTACTACGATAACAACAACGTCTTTATTCCATACAAGTCGGGATCAACTATATGAATTCTTGATATTTCATGTCGGTCTGTTTTTAAGCTCACTCTCTATGAGGATCCAGAAAATCGTCGTTGGTGTCAATTTCAGACTCGAGGTCACCCTCTGTGCCATCGACGTCTGTTGGCACGTCAGATTTTGACACTTCTCCTGCTGTCTTGGCCTCTTGTATGATCCGCAAGATTTCTTCCACGCGTTGCTGTGGTTGATCGGAAATTTCTACGAATCTTGAATTTTCACAATCTATCAGGTCTTTTGACAGATTCTTTAGGAACCAGGAATGTTGCTTTATTTCTGGAATGGTGATCCTCTGTACATTGATAATTGAAATGTTTTTAAAAGCTAATTTAAGCAAAGCCATATCAATAGCACAATATGTGTGTACAATCATTTGTTGTCAAAAGCAGAGACGGATTCAGGATTTGAACTTAATGAATTCGAGTTAAAATTCTAGCACAACTCGTTTGATGTACTAGGTTCGAATATATTATTTGTACTTCTTTAGTGAACTTTTAACATATACCAACTCGTATATTAAGTCCGTCCTTGTCTAACTTTACGACTGCTAGTGACCCCTCTACCTATTGCATAGATCCGCCTCTGCCCAATACGAATAGTTCTAGCCCCAAAGAACTATGCAAAACAAAGAGATCTTACTTCTAATGTGATATGATATTCAATGAAACAACGACTACTACTATTACGCCTTAATCCAGTGGTGGAGACACACTTTAGCAAGGGAAGCCATTCGACATTACGCAGAAAAAATCATTTTGTGACATGAAGTAAAGCCTTAAAATCACAACTTCCCAAACTTAAACTACTTAAACTCCGAATTATGACAATAAGACAATACTACTTGCCCCAATCTTATGAAAGCCACTACTTATTCCCAAGCAAGTCGGGTGTTGTATGACTCTTAACCATCCACGTCGCTTCATTTAAACTCATCTTATTCCAATATTATATATGATATTCAACGAAGCTTTATTGATTACAAAAAACCTAATTTATGAATCTTTCACTAAAACCTTGTACACATTTGACATGTTATTTCAAGAAAAGAGAGTTACCTCGGAGGGGTTTGCGACGAAAATTCCAGAGAGGAGGTTTCTACATTCACCAGATATTCTTACATAATCTGGTATAGAGTACTGAGCATTCTTTATTCTCTGAAAAAGAAAAAGAAAGGATAAATCCTTAAGTTGTTAAACGCACAACAGTTATATACAGTTAGACGTCTCTATAACAGCATCCCTATAGAATAGTCATTGATCACTATAAAAGCCAAGTTTTTCTCGAACCGATTTTTATAATATAGGTCATCTATAACAACATTTCACTAAAGCATCCAAAAAATATCGGAATAAGCGCGGCTGTTATAGAAAGATTTGACTATATCAGTTAACAGAATATTAAAACATTGGTTGAGAACTCAAATCAAAGACTTCATAAACTAACCTCAATGGTTTTACGAAAATTTCTTGGATCTTCAGGATCTTCAAAAGGGTATGCTCCTATTAACATCACATATAGTGTCACCCCACATGACCATACATCTGCAATCTGTAAAATATAGAACTTCCAAATAAACAGAATGTTCCTAGTGAAACAGTGGCGGATGTAGCTTATTAGCTACGGATTCAACTGAACCTGACATTTTCGACATGTAACATGTATATAAGAGCAGCTCGGTGCACTAAGCTCCCCTATATGCAGGCAGGGGCGGATTTACATGGACCCAAGCATTGTCAGGGGACACCGCTTCGTCCAAATTTTTTACTATATATATATATATAAACATATATATAAAATAATAAGTAAAACAGAAATACAAGATAAAATCATTAAACGTGACACCACTTGCATCATAGCTCAGTAGTCTAGTGGTTGACAGCTTCAAGTTTGATGTGAGAGGTCTTGGGTACAAACTCCCTTGGCTCTAGAAAAATATTTTTTGACTGTTACGCTTATGCTAGAAATAGTGACACCGCTTATGACAAATCCTGCGTACGCCACTGTATGCAGGGTCCCGAGAAGGGTCTGCCTTAACCTGCATTTCTGCAAGAGGCTGTTTCTACCGCTCGAACCTGTAACCTCCTGATCACATGGCAGCAACTTCACCAGTTACACCAAAGCTCTCCTTCAGACACGGAACATGTATATACATGTTGAAAACGTGAATGTAACGTGAATGAGTTGTTCTTTTCTTATATAGAACTTTCAAATGAGCATAATGTACCTAGTGAAACAGTGGCGGATGTAGCTTATTAGTTTAGGATTCAACTGAACCCGATATTTTCGATACGGAACATGTATATACATGTGAAAAATGTGAGTGTAACAAGAATGAGTTGTTCTCTTCTTATATGGTAAAGGCAGTCTTCGACTATTAATTAAGTTAAACTCAAGGTCCATTTTTTTTTTCTAAGATGTAATAATCTAAAAAGAGTATTCGTACCTTCCCATCATATTCCTTCCGCGAGAGGACCTCAGGTGCAATATAAGCTGGTGTTCCAACAGCCGACTTAGGTTGCGAATGCAACAAACCAGACTATATGACAAAGAAAATGTATAGTTACTACCTATTATATTATTAAAGAAAAGATTAGCGACGAATTTCATAACAGAAAGCAAGAAACCTTGGAATAACCAAAATCGCATATTTTTACACGTGGCGTTGGACTTCCATCAAGGAGTGTATTCTCCAGCTTTAGATCCCTGTGACAAATTTCCTACAATTGAAAAAGAAACTCATGAAAAAAAGATAACAAACATAACAAAATGGAAAAGTACTTCAATTTATGAATTTTACCATTGAATGACAGTAACTAACTCCAGATATTAACTGTTGGAAGAAGAAGCGAGCCTATTTTTTCGGAATAACAAGAATGAAAATTAGTACAACATTTATATTATTATAATATACAGAAATAAAATAACAAATTGGAGATCTTTAGAACCTCATCTTCACTAAATCTACCAGCACTGCATATTTTAGCAAAAAGTTCACCACCTGCTGCATATTCCATAACAATTGCTAAATGTGTTGGAGTTAACAAAACCTGCAACAAAAGCGCGCACGTTCAGTGACCATATGTGAAATTAACAGCAACGCAAATGGCTCCTCATAATTGGAGTCTGAAGAAGGAAATGTGTACGCAGACCTTACCAATACCTTAGGAAAGTAAAGAGGTTGTTTCTGAAAGATGCTCGACTCAGTTTAGTATTAAAAAATGCATTTGCATCAGTAACGGTCAAAATTGCCTAAGTACTATATGAATATGAGCAACTTTGTCCTCCGTTGGACTTTTGGCCTAATATTACCTCATCTTATAAAAGTTTTGTTTTTGGCCTTGATTCTTATGGAGCTCGAGCCTGAGTGATAATTTTAAACTATAGTCAAAAGTTGAGGAGTAAATTCAAACCCTTTTTTCTCGAAGAATTTGGACAAATGGAGTCCATCCATTTCACGTTTCACCATGGCAAATACGAGACGATTTGCTAATGACAAGAATATAAATTGACCAAAAATTTAAAGGATAGCAAAATTAAATAATTTGCAATAGTACTAGGGAAAATTTGGACATTTTCCTTTTAATGAAATCAAGTGTTCATAGCAACAAAAGAGTAGGTATTTACCTCTTTAAATCTGACAATATTGGGATGCTTTAATGATCTATGATTTATAATTTCCCTCTGCACATTCTCATCAATCTGAAACAAGAAAAAGAATCTGTATCTGTTAAAAAAGACTATAACATAACCAAAAGAATTAAGTGCTCTTGGTTTAATTGGTTCAAAGTAGCTGATACGCATTAAGTCCTCAAAAATACTTTTACATGCAGAAATTGATCTTATAAATATGCACTTACGATGTTTCGATAGAAATGTTGAAACAGAAAATTAAAATATCAAAGTCAGTACATTCCCAAACAATTGAAATATCATTGAAGAAGCAAAATAATTGATACTCCTTCTGGTCCACTTTAATTAATTTTTTGACTGTTTTCGCACATATTAAAGCCCCATTTGTCCATAAATAATTTTTTTTTTTAAAAAATGTGTTTATCCATAAAATTTTGCAAGTTTAATCGAAATATTCGAGAATGAGTGTTTCAAAAAACCATAATATTTTTGAAAAATAATCGAGAATGAGTTTTTCAAAATTTTCAGAAAATTTCTCTTTCCCCCCTTTACAAACTATAATATTTTTTTCAAGTGAAATGCATGTCCAAACATAATTTCAATTAAATTTTAAATACCATTTTTCAACTTAACTCCAAATATTACTTTTTTCAAAAACCATAATTTTTATGTCCAAACACCTGCTACTAAGTAATCCATCTTTTAACATTAATAAAAATTAATCATATTAACTTTTACTATTTCTTTAATTTATTAATCGAAAATATAAGGTACTCCGATACTCTTTAATTACTCCAATGACAACTTTGGAAAAAAAAGGTTAATTCCTACTTGATATCAGAAAAAATTAAATATTATGAACCACAAAAAAAATCCAAAAAATCAATTAAAATGAACATGTAGGAGTAATGAAAACTACCTTATTTCCTCTTTCAATGTATTTGACAGCAACAAGCTCCTTTGTTTTCTTGTCTTTGACAAGTCTAGCCACCCCAAAATGCCCAGAACCAAGTTTTTTCAATGGCTCATATCTCTCCTCCATTTTTCAACTCAACTAAAAATCAACAAATAAACAATTTTTGAAATCTTGAAATGTAAAAACACTCAAAAATTGTAAAATCTTGACCAATCCTAGCTAATGAAATTACTCAACTCTCACTACTAGTTATATATACTGAGGAAGAGATGCACCAATTTTTTTAATAAACATTTCGTGAGACCACTACTCTCTTTAATAAATAATGAAAATTATTTTTTGAAATAATAAAACAACTTTAAGAATACATGAACATTTGTATATATATAATATTAAAGGACACATATATTACTAATTATTAAGGGGTTGGCTTCAAACTTCAAAGTTCATTCAATCTATGAAGACATTTTCTTCAAAAGATTCTATGTCTGACACTGTGTTGTTTGTCTAGTTTAAGATTGTAATAAATGGTTGTCGATAACTTTTTAATTTTCAGTATTTTACTAAGGTTTAGTTTAAGATTGTAAATGGTTGTCGGATAAGTTTTTAATTTTCAGTATTTTATTGAGGCTTGAAGTTGCACCGAGGTTAATTTTTACATTGACGATGTAATAATTATCTAAGATAAACAATATAGTAGTATCAATAATCTGATTGATAAAAATAAAAACTAATAATATTTTTTATATTATCAGTAATTTAAATTCTTTTATTAAACGTGCGTCTTACGTAGAAACATTATTGCTTTTTGTTTTTGTTTTTCAATCGGAAGCCAGTACCCGCTTTAAGCCCATCTAATTCGAATTTACGTCACGTAAAATTTGTTAACGGGGAAAACGCTTCCTGCCAGTATTTCTTTTTTATTTCTGGCTCGCACCCCAGACCTATTGTTAAGGATGAAACGATCATTCCCACCACAACTTTTGATGGTGGACCCTTTGTTACATGTTAGTGACTTGGGGTTGTAGCTTTTTAAAGAATATTATCCATTGACAAGGAATAAGACGGAAACAGGAACTACTTATCGAAGCCTTGAAAGCGATTTCCGCCTGCTTGGGTGCAAATCGTTAAGACCAGTCGCTCCGCAAGGTTCTGCAGCACCTCCAAACACGTGCACTCGTGGCTGGAAGTTTGGAATTTGCACAAAATAATTTGCCAGCTATTGGACATAATTTTGGCCTCACGTATATCTTGCGTAGGGGGGCAAATCGACCCTTGAGGACCAATTTCTCATGTTCACGAGACCACTCTCTTTCACTAGCTCTTTACAAGCCTAACAAAGAGCAATTTAATATAAAGAGAAGGAAAAGACTTTCCACCACCAACGAGGGACACTTTGTCTTTTACAAAAAACAAAGACGTAAAGAAGAAAAAGGGACCACAAAGAAATCTTTCACTTTGCATTATAAAGAATACCAACAAACAGTAGTTGCCATGTTGTTCCCTTCACAAATCATAGCTCATGCACAAAAAACTTTGTACAAATAACAAATAGAGTTTAAGTTATGTGCACTGACCGTGCACAGATTGTTTACACCATAAGATTGACCAGACGCCTATTATCACTTTGTACACTACCAGAAATAGCTGTAGTTCAACAGTAACGATTACAGGAGTAAAACCAAACAAACATCACTGCCTATTCAGTAAAGGGACCTTCTCCAACCCGATAAATACAAACACCCAAGGGGCCGTTTGGTTGGGAAATCAGTTATTCCATGATTAATTATCTCGGGATTAGTTATTCCGGGATTAGTTATTCCACCCTCCCACGGGATAAAAAAACAGTACAATCCCGAGATAACTAATCTCGGAATTAGTTTAGTTATACCACGATTTGTCCCAACCAAACCTGAGATAACTCATCTCAAATTTAATCCCGGGATAAATTATCCCTTATCTCTCGTACCAAACGAGCACTAAAAGAATACAAAGAGATCCAAACTGGAACCGGGAATAACAATATACAAAGCATGCCAAGAAGTGTTGATACAATTATGAGATGCTTTTAACTGAAGGAGGCCATGACAATCTCCTGTGGCTCATACCATCACCTTTTGCAATTTCGCTACCTTCTTGCGGCTCACTTTCTTGCCTTCTCAAGCTTCCGACTGCTAAATCATCAAAGCTCGATTCGGTTCTCAATGGGGGAGGAGTCACGCAATCAGTATTTCCAACATTTGTTTGAGAAGGATTGTTGCTCGGTAATGTAGCCAAGGAAGAAGAATGACCAACTCTCAAAGCCTGGAGCGTTGCGAATGACTCCCTCATTGCAGACATGGCTTCAAAGAATATGGTGCAAGAAGCCAAAGCAACAGGAATTGGACGAAGCATTTCCTACATTAATTGAAACGTCAAACATTAAAAATAAATGGAGCTTGGTAGATTATCTAGAATATTGGAACCTCCTTTTCATATCCAAATATGAGCAGCGGCGGATGTAGTGTTTTACCCACGGGTTCAATTGAACCCATAACTTTCGATGCAGAGTAAAAATTTATATGTACAAATTTATTAAAATTGCAAAAATAGTAGATATGAACACATAACTTTAAATATAATGGGTCCAATACTAAAAACCTTAAAAGTTGAACCCATAAGGTTTAAATCCTGGATCCGCCTCTGAACATGAGAATTCATGAAGTTCCCTAACATTCTTTTCTAATAACCGATAAATCCCCGAACGCTAATGGTGCACGGTTAAAAACTTGATGAATAATGGGTTTACTCCACTTAAATACAAGGCTTTTGTTGGCAGTAAGGTTTGAACCTGTGACGTGCACCTAACCCACACATAACGCATTGCGCTCTTACCACTAGACCAAAGCCTTGGCCAGAAGTTCTCTAACATTCTTCATGGCATTCCGCAGAGTAACAAGGAATAATGTTTGCATCCTATATGCACTTCGAGGATTCAATAACCCAGTTATGCAATAAACCAGAACGCAATACTGCACTAGTGATCTTATGGTTCCTAGTTCCTTTAGTGGTTACAACTTCTTGGACACTTATCTGAGCACATACAAACATGTGTTGCTTCTATATAGATTCATACACACTAACATCTAATTGCATTATCAATTTTCTGTGCCTATTCGACAGTTATTGCCCCTGCTAACTACACCACACTTTGTTTTTCTTCTTTCCTTCTTATTGGGTTTCAGAATTTCTTTCCATCAAAGAGTATGTAGAGCTACAGTGACATGCCCGTCCACAAATGAAAATAAACATTCTTTTTGCATCAAACAAATGGAGAATTAAGAAATGAGTATGAACAAACACCTGACAACAGTCACCAGGACAGGTATGTGCTAACGTGATGATGCTATTTACCCTTACTGATTTAGGAATCCTCAGATGCTAAACAAAATAATAGTTTCCGAACAAACACTATTTTTGGTACAACATTACGAATAATACTGCATTACTCAAACCACCATGAGAAATAAGTTTTATTTTTACAATATATGAAGATAAAGTTTATAGAAGAATTGGAAACAAGAAGTGCATACCCCCCATACTGTTGGTGGTTCTTTAAATTTCTGACTCCATTGAAGATCTTCTATAGAGGCCGTTAAAGCACCATAATCACTAGCAGCCCTCATCAGCAATTCCGAAAACTGTTTCTGCACTATTCAATAACGTTAGGTATCTATCTATTGGCTCGTCACACAGCTGAGTGGTAAAATGAACAGTTGAAAAAGCTAAAGACTGACACAGAAGCATCCGAGTTCTTGCTCTCAGGGATACTCTGAGACATGTCAGTCAAAGTGTAAATACTGACTCGAGTCAGTGTTTTAAAAGGTAAATATTATAAAGTAGGGTGTGTTAGAAGCAAAGTGGCAGTTTAATTCAGAATATTATAATTGGTTACTGGTTAGTCCCTCGTCAACGAAATAAAAGATGTAGATTACATCCTTCAACTATAACTAGGTGCGTCTTGTATTCAACTGTCATCATGTTATCAAAACATCTCTTCTCTTATTCTGGGTGTTTCAAGTCTCTACCAAGATCATAGAGCCTTTAATATCATGTGAAAATAAATGGAAAAACCTCTTTGACTTGGTTGGTGACATTACACAAAAATCTAGTATGATATGGTAAGTAATTATTTTCTACTTATAATAAGGATGGTTATTCTCCAACAAACAAACAGACCCTAATGTCATATAAATAATATCCTAGAATATCATATAGAATATTCTACAACGTCATGCTATTCAAATACAATGAATCCAATCAATTGTAATCTATAAAGTTCTTCCACATAACTAAGTTGATTTTTCCTAATGTTCAACAAGACAATATTTGCGCAAATATGATTAAAGCTCTTCAGTAGTTGGTATAGATATGGATAACCATCTTTCTCTTGCGATCTAGATATTCATGGAAGATAAGCTGATTTTATATGAAGCTAGCAAGTAACAAACCTGATATTCAGCTTCAACAGGAATGCAATCCAACGAATATGGTTGTTGAAGGCGAGCTATTATGCGGTCCTAAGAAACCCGCAGGAGAAGTTTATCAAACACGGCAGCAAAATGAAGCAATTAAGTAAAGAAACGACAATGACAAAATAAAGAGATAAGAGGATTCTATTATGTAATTCTGCTATAGGATGAAGTTTGCTTCACTGCACATCAAATAAAGTTGTCAATGCTCTTTGCTAGAAGCAACTGCAAGCTAATGCAAGCAACTTAACCAATTGACACAATTAGGATTGATGCCTCCCCATGATATAAGGGAATTTGGTTTAGTTTCAAAAAGGTGGACGGAGGAGATCATAATGAAATATTTGAATATCACCAAATGTAAAATAAAGAAGAAAATAGAAGTTAAATTACAGATCAGGTCAGTTACCTTGTTATGAATAACGTCCTTCAAAATAGTAGTAATCCTTTGCAATGTTTCGATCTTCTTTTCCATTTCACTGACATGTGTCAGATGAGCAACATTTTTGTCCTCCTAAAGTTGTAGCACAGTACTGTGTTAGTTCATGATATCATCTAAAAGAGTTAAGTTTTCAGGTTAGCAAAGTGTTGAAAATCAAATATCAACAATTATTAGTCCTTCCCAACTCAATTTATAATGTCCAATCACTATAGGAGTCCACAAGGAAGCGAAAAGAAGCGAAAAACAAATATTAAGTACAGTTTGAGTTAAACTTACAGGTAAGGAAGCTGCAAAACCTCTCTGCGCCCAATCCTAATTCAAACTCAAGATGGTTTCTAGTGTTAAAATTTTAGGTTTTTCTTGAATGTAGTAGTATTATATTTTTTAGTGCAAGATGTCATAATCCAGAAGACTAAGTTATTGGGCATTTAAGGTAGACATAGACGTGTTATACTACTGAACTTGTTTTCCCAAGATGAAAAAAGTATTAACATTAGAGGTCCAAGCTCGTCGGAGAACGCATTACATTACTGATCACCTATCTTGACCAATTTACCAAACTATTAAATTGAGCTGCCAACCGAATGTGAGCTAGTCCCTAACTATAGCACTGAATCTCTTTATGCATTTGAATACTCGGATGACTAATAGTAAATAGAGAACGACATCTAACGGGTATTAATTGATACAAAAACAAATAATTGTACATTGTTCAAAGGAAAGAACGTTTTTTTTTATGGTTAAGTTATTTGATAGAATGATTTCAAACTCAGATTGGCCGGACAAATCATGTGCTGACCTCCATTACAAAATTTAAAAACTAATTTAGGGAAGTTCTCGGATTATTTTGAACGATTTGGTACCCATCCCCTGCTGAAATGGATAGGACATCTATATACTAGGGTCAAGTGAAAAGTTAAGTGATATAAAATTATACTGTCAGAAAGCGTGTTCACTGGATTCAAAACCCCATTTCGTGTTGGGTAATTTTGAGGAGCATGTAAAACCTTACAAAAATAGATCAATTTCAGTAGAATCTCAACAAACGTCACCTTTCGACCTTGAAGTTCCACTTGTAAATCTGCAATTTTCCTTTGAACAGCAGTTAGTTCCTTCAAGTCCCTTATCAAATCATCACCCTTTTCACCAGTGGTGGTGGATAAATTTTGGATCTCCTCCTATACAAGGGGAACATTGTTTAGTTCCGATAAATATAAGTACAAATAAAGCTCAAATAACCATCTTAAAAAAGCAAACACTACTACTACTACAACAACAACAACTACGGCTAGGTCTTAAAGAGTTAGGGTCGGTTATATGAATCCTTACGAATGTTACTCCATTTAAACTCATCTCATGCCAATATTATGCAGCTACAAATAAATCGTAGAAGAAGTTCTCAATATATTTTAAACATTGAAATCTCTAAAAGGCTAAACCGCTCCTAGAAAGCATAGGACCTATATTAAAAGTGCTAATTTGTCTAAAACATATTCTCAACTAAGAAACCAAAAACACAAGGATGAAAGAAAAGAGAAGCAAGGCCCACGGAGAAAACAAAACAAAACAAACAAAAAGTTAAGAAAAGGAAAAGAAACCTGCAATGGGGAAGGGCTCAACCAATCATGAAAGCATAGATAAACTGCGATATTAAAATCCTCCTAAATTAAATTCAAGTATAAAACAAATTCAGAGTTCCAGCGTGAAATATCCACTCCTCTTTTTTACAGTGGTGTCGCAGCTATCTTGTCGGCACCTCAACTATTCCAATGGGTACCTGCAACCTCCCACCGGTTTATATCACAGGATACCTCTGTCACCACGGCTTAGGCTGGTGTTTCTTTACCTCCGGTTAAAGTGGAATATTCACTTTTTAGCAAGAAACATCTAGAATCTTGAGTTAACCATGTAAATTCCACCACCCCCTAAATTGTGATACTAAAAGCATAGATAAATTGCGATACTAAAATCCTCCTAAACAAAATTCAAGTATAAAACAAATTCGGATTGCAACGTGGAATATTCACTCTTCTTTGTTTGTGATGTCGGGGCTAGCTTGTTGGACCTCGACTATTCCACCGGGTATCTGCTATCTACTAACAGTTTATAGTACTGGATAACTCTGCCACCAAGGCTTAGGCTGGTGTTTCTTGCCTCCACTTAAAGGGGAATATTCACTTTTTAGCAAGAAACATCTACAATCTTGAGTAAACCATGTAAATTCC